ATAGTTAATTATGTTTGAAAATATTTGTTTATAAATTAATTTTAATCTATTAAATAATAAATATTAATTATTAATTATTTTTAATAATTAAATTAAGACAAAAATTTAACAACTTTGATGACATAACCATAGCCTTATAATGTCTTCAAGGTAGTTTTTGTGTACTTCAACACTAAGTGCTTGTTTGGTGCAACTTGTGGGAAGGATTTTTTGATTTCAAAACACAAGTTGTACTCAACATTACAAATTGTGAAAAATATTATAACTTTTTACAAACTGATTTTATTTTATTTTATTGTAAATCTCAAAAATACTAAATTGGTGCTTTCACAAGAACTTTTTATTTGAATTTTAATGAAATTAACACATTATTTTTATTTTATCTTTATATTTCTTTTTAGTTACAAAAATAACACTTCTACAACAAATTTTTTTTCAACAAAATTTTTATTAAAAACTCCAACCACTACACCGAATGGGTATTAAGTTCTTTTAGATATTTTTTAAAGATTTTATTTTTCATTCTAAATTAAATAAAACCACAAAACATAAATCTTTGAATAGAATGAGGCTCTCAATATCAAGTTATTTACCTCTCATCTAAATGTTTATGTCCTGTAATCTGGTCTAATTTAAATTAGGTTAAATACTCTTTTTGGTCCCTCTACTATAGGAAAAAACTTTTTTTTAGTCCCTATACAAAAAAATCCCCTTTTTGATCCTTACTGTTTAAAATCTGACCGCTTTTTAGTCCTTCTGTCAGTTAAGTGACAGCATAGCACAATTATCCGTTAAATGTCTTTTTTTTCTCTTTTCAATGGTGACATGGGATTACACGTGGCAAAATTGATGAGTTGGCAATCAGATTTATTTTTCATGTAATCAATAAGTCATAAAATAATTAAAATAATTAAAAGAAAAAAATCATTGTTTCCCTTTATCTTTTCATTTCCCATTTCTATCCTCGTCTTCTTCCTAAGCCCAAATCCCCGATCCTCTCTACTTTTGCCTAAACTTAATCCCCCTCTAATCCCATTGATTTCTTCTTCTTCGCCAAATCTTCCTCCATCAAAGCCCTCAAATCTTCACTAATTTGCCCCCATTTTCTTCCCCCTTCTGTCTTCACTAATTCGTCACGAACCCAGGCGTGACTTGGGTTCATCGCGCCTGAGTTCATCTTGGGTTCGCGACGAACCCAAAGCACGCCTGGGTGGTTCTGGGTGGTTCGTCCTGGGTTCTTCGCAAACCCAGGATGAACCCAGCTCGCAAGACTAGGCTGTCAAAAAACCCAGCTTGCGCCTGGGTTCATCGCAAACCCAGGCGCAAGCTGGGTTCTCAATCTCTGCCAAATCGACAGCGCCGAGGCCCAAGGCCACGCCACTGTTTTCGTCGCCAAGTTTTTTGGCCACTCTAGCCTCATCTCTTTCCTTTCCATCATTCCGGAATCTCAGCGTCCTGGTGTGTCCTTTTTTTGATTATTATTATTTTCTCACATTTCTCGGATTGGATTTGGATTTTTCAAATTTGTGCTCAATTGCTTGTGTCGTGTGTTGTGTTGTGTTTGTGTTTCAACGTTGTTTCAATCCTTGCTGTTTGAAGCGTGCGGAAGGATGGTGAATCCGGTGAACGACGCGGTAGGGCTGCTGTGGATGGGGAACTGGCATGTGTGCCAGATGGCGGTGGAGACTGTTCTCCTTGGCGGAACCCTCTGGCCATTGTCGGAGTTGATGGTTTCTCCACCAGCATCCGATGAAACTTTGGAAGCAACCTGGGAAGTGACAAAGCGACACTTCATCTGGTGTTACAGCCTGCTTGGATAGTGGGTTTTGAGCAAAGTTGAAGGGAGGATTTTATGTTGACCTTGAAGCCAAGCTTTTGTTTCTGGAGTTGTTTGTTTGAGAAGAACATGC